TTCCCTTTGGTCACCGCACAAGCGAAAGTGAAGCTCTAAGGGAATCTCAGTGAACCTTGCTGCTTGCTAGTTGGTCAGTTGTCAATTCTTGTGATTTCACATAATGTTAATGACAGTTCACATTTAATCATTTTTTCTTCCTTACTTCTTATCTTTCTCTCTTTTAGTTTTTGGAATGCTGGGACTAATCCATTGGGCTATATGGGGCATCTGTGTAACCAACAATTTTTTTTTATAATGGTGAAATACACATAATATCAAAATTTACCATTTTGACCATTTTTAAGTTTGCAATTCAGTGGCACTTAGTACATTTACAGTATTGTACAACTATCACTACTATCTAGCTTCATAACATTTTTATCATTCCAAAAGGAAATTTGTACTCACCAAGCAATCACTCCACATTCTTTCTTTTCTCCTGCTCTTGGAAACCACTAACCTGCTTTCTGTCTCTATGAATTTTCTCTAGGAATTAATTCTATGTATTTCATACAAATGGAGTCAGATATATGAGAACTTTTGTGCCTAGCTTTTTCACTTAGCATAATGTTTTAAAATTAGATCCATGTTGCAGTGTATGTCAGTATTTCGTTTCTTTTTTATATCTATTGTATGGATTAAACCATTTTTGTTTATATACTCATTAGTTGATAGACCTTTGGGTTGTTTCCATAGTTCTTCTATTGACAATTGTGCTGCTACAAACATTCCCATGTAAGATTTGTTTGAACACCTGTTTCCAATTCTTTGCAGTATGTATCAAGAAGTGGAATTTTGGGGTCCTATGGTAATTCTATGCTTAATTCTTTTTTAAATTGAGATATAGTTATTTACAAAATATATTTTAAGTGTACAACATAGTAATTCAAAAATTTTATGGATTATACTCCATTTATAGTTATTATAAAATATTCATTGTATTTCACGTTGTACAATATATCTTTGTAGTTTATTTTTTTATACATAGTAGTTTGTACCTCTTAATCCCCTCCCCCTATTTATACCCCTTCTTTCCCCACTGGTAAATGCTAGTTTGTTTTCCATAGCTGTGAGTCTGTTTCTTTTTTTGTTGTATTCACTAGTTTGTTTTATTTTTTAAATTCTACACAATGTGTAGAACAGTATTTGTCTTTCTCTGTTTGACTCATTTCAGTAAGCATAATACCCTCTAAGAACACTCCAGGATGCTCTTTGACATAAATCATACCAATATTTTTTTGGCTCTGTCTCCTAAGGCAAAGGTAACAGATGCAAAAATAAACAAACGGGGCCTAACTAAACCTAAAATCTTCTGCACAGCAAAGGAAACAAAGCAAAAAGACAATCTACTGAATGGGAGAAAATCCTTGCAAATGATAGGACTGATAAGGGGTTAATATCCAAAATATATAAACAGCTCGTGCAACTCAATATCAAAAAACAAACAATTCAATTAAAAAATGGGCAGAAGACTTCATAGACATTTTTCCAAAAAAGACATATAGATGGCCAACAGGCATATGAAAAGATGCTCAACATCATTAATTATTAGAGAAATGAAAATCAAAACCACAATGAGATATCACCTCACACCTTCAGAATGGCTATCATCAAAAATACTACAAATAACAAGGGTTGGCGAGGATGTGGAGAAAAGGGAAACTTGTATACTGTTGGTGGAATGTAAATTGATGCAGCCACTGTGGAAGACAGTATGAAGGTTGAGGTTCCTTGAAAAATTAAAAATGGAAATGCCATATGAGCTACTAATTTCACTTCTGAGTATTTCCCTGAAGGAAACAAAAACATTAATTTGAAAATACATATGCACCTCTATTTTCATTGCAGTATTATTTACAACAGCTAAGATATTGAAGCCATCTAAGTGTCCATCATTAGATGAATGAATAAAGGAGATGTGGTACATATACATAGTGGAATGTTACTCAGTGATAAAAATGAAGTCTTACCATTTGCAACAACATGGATGGATCTATTGGATATTATGTTAAGTGAAATAAGTCAGACAGAGAAAGACAAATACTGTATGATTTCCTTATGTGTGGAATCTAAAAAACAAAGCAAACAAACAAAACAAAATGAAAACAGACTCATAAATACAGAGAACAAATTGGTGGTTGCCAGAGGAGAAAGAGGTTCCAGGGGTGAAATAGGTGAAGGGGATTAAGAAGTACAAACTGCCAGTTATAAAATAAGCCATGGGAATGTAATAAACAGCATAAGCAATATGGTCAATAATATTGTATTAACTTTGTGTGAGAACAGATGGTTACTAGACTTATATGAAATGGTGGTCATTTCATAATGCATGCAAATTTCAAATCACTATGTGGTACACCTGAAAGTAACATAATATTGTATGTCAACTATATTTCAATAATAATAATAACAACAACAACAACAATAATAAATAATAAATAATTCTCTGGAGTCTATTAACTACACCAAAGTCCCCAAGATACTATTAGGCCCCATCCCAGGGGAAGTAAGTTTATAAGAAAAAATATAAATACCTTCCACTCAGCATAATAAATAGCATGCCCCAAGAAGATAACACGGGATGTTTACTAGAGACTCAGAGACTAAGGTAAGTTATATCATGGTTAGGCTGTAAAAATAGCAAGAGGAATGGGGAAAGAAATCACTTATGCCAGAGAGTATGGAGAGTTGGAGGAAAAATGAAAGTAATAAAACAAGATGAAGTGAGAGTGGACACTCATAACCCGCCGATGCTGCACTTTTATCTACATGTTCTCGTACCTATGATTGTGCAGAATCTCACATGCAGAACTACAGGGTGAAAGCTGGTATGGAAGGAGACGCACTAATATGTCCTGTATCAGTTTTACTTCTGTTTCTGACCTTGTGTACAGGTGCACAAATGTGAATAGCAAGAGGCAAGAACTAGCTTTCTAGAACTGCTTTTGAGTTAATGAATTTGTTAATAAATGAATCATGAAGCATGGCTCTGATGAACAGACTTCTGTGAAAATAAGACTTAGGGCTGGAGGGGATGAAGCCTCTGAGAAAGGGAACAGCAGGATGGCCATGAGACTGCAAAATTAGGACAGGATGAGGAAGATGGTATACATTCTCCTTATGTTCCTCTGTTCCAGGAAGTGGGAGCATGGATATTTGGAGGGTGGTGGCTGTTGGTGGGATACAGTGGAGAGAGCAAATGCCACCTTGAAGTAATGACTGCTGGAGAGCTGAGTAAAATCTCATGTAGCACATTGAAGTTAGAAGGTCAAATGAGAGGCTGGGACCAGTCTTATTTCTGAACCCAGCAGAGACTGAAAAATATATGAATACGTGCTGAAATAATAGGTCAGTATACATTATAAAATGATTAAATGATTGGCTTTGATAAGTGTTTACAGATGGAAATGATGTTGACTCAGAGAGGAAGGAACTTTCAAACCTGCCTAGAAAATCCACAGAATAAATGAAGTTGATTTTCATGGGATGAAACCATGTTTATTTTCTAAGTTTCTGCTGTATGGAGCCCTTAAGAGAGACTAGGCCATCAGACAATTGAGTTTGGTCATTATCTACTGGATTTCTGGATCAGGTCATTGAGAGAATAAGAGATTTCTTTTTTATGTTCTGGCTGGCCACTGTGCATTTATTTTCACTTTATCCTTGCTCTTCACTCCATTTGCAATAAAACGTAGTTCCTTCTTTGCATGAAGAATTGTTCCGTGAGTCTTAGCATAAGCCTAACCTCCTCCATACAATTTTTCTTGACCCATTTCTACACCTATAACATTCTGTGCGTACTTCTAACATAGCACTTGCAATACAATTTTCAAATTTCATCTTTGGAGTTTTATCTCCCTTTCCACTCAGTGGTCTCGAGAGTCTGTGACCAATTGTATTCAAACTTGTATTCAAATTTCCTAATCAAGGCTGGTAGAGGACCCCTTAAATGTTTGATGGACTAAATTGTGAAGAGTACCTCTCCACTTACCTTGTATATTCTCCACTAATGAAAGACAGAAAACTATCTCCGATAGTTTCACATTACAAAACTGAGAACTTCCGCTGTCTCCTATTCAGCCCTAGGAGTCCAAAGTTACCCCACAGATATGTACATAGCATATATAAATATATTTCTTGAGATGATTTCCCAAAGTAGCATATTCTCTCTCATTTTTACTACTGTTCATAGGTTTCAAATGACACAGGCAGCAAGTCTTAACATGGCTTTAAAGTAGGATATACTTACCTTCCTGGAAATTTATCCCTGATGGATGCTTCTCAACTCTGACTCCCCTCAACATCCAAATATTCCTAAATTTGAAGCCAAGCTTTTGGCACAATTGCACACATTAAATTTCCACATTTTTATGCAACTAGTTTTTCCCCACAAAGTTGTACAGTAATAAGCTCCTTTGTTTGCTTCAAATTTTTAATATATTATAACTAAGTTCAGAATTCCCACATATTCTAGATGAGTGCTATGAAATAAAGTCACTTGATAATTCCTTTCTGTAATACCGTAAGGGAGACATCCATAAAGACGTGAGAGCTGGGATAGACTCTTGGTCAGAACAAAGGTTTAGGATATCTAATACGCTCTCCCGTTTCCCCATGGATACAAGGCAGAGATGTATTTGAAAGTTGCCTAGCCTAGAATATTTAATCTCCTCTCCCCCAGCTGGCCTATATCTGGATAAGTTCTTTACTGAATGTGTTTTCTTACACAATCTTCAAATGATAGGCTT